CAAAAAAGGGCCCCAGGAAGCAGACCCCCCCCCAGGAGCTGTAATTATGCTGGGTTTTTTTTTTTTTTTTTTTTTTTTTCATGGTGTTCAGGATGTGGGGGCGCTTCTGGGTTTTGTGTGGGAAAGGGGATGCCTCCTGCAGACTAAACCCCTGGAGTGTGGCTGTCCGCCCTCCACCCCCACCAGCAGCACAGCCCAGGCTTCCGTCTTTTTCCCACTGATTGCTCAATAGATCCCCTGAACCCCTGAGTCTCAGGCATTGCCCCTCTCTCTTTTCAGTCACTCACCTCACCCCTCAGTTCAGCCATCTTGCGATCCATGCTGGAGCGTGCGCCCAGCTCATCCTCCAGGTCTTCAGACATGCGGCCCAGTTCATCCTGGTGTGTTTCCTTTAGGATGCTGAGCTGCAAAGACATCACCCAGCCTGATCACCAGGACCACCAGGATATATCCCAGAGGCAGTGATGGAAGTGAGCACCAGCCAGGGTAAAGGGGTCCCAGGGACCCAGAGTAGGCTGAGTCTGTCCACTCTGTGCTTCACACATCTGTCACCTCCTACCTCGTCACAATCTGGCAGCACATGACTGGGTCAGCTCACTGTCCACCATGGGAATCAAGTGTGAACCTTAACAAAGTCAGTTCACCCTCCCACCCCCACACACCAAAACCCCTTTGAGGGTTTCTTGGTGTATTTAGATAGAACCCAACTCATGCATTCTCACAAAGTCCCATGACACAATGCTCCAGTGTGCTCCTCCCATCCACCTGGCCTCATCTCACTGCCCACAACACGGCAAATGATGAGGGATGAAGAGATGGTGCAGAGGTCAAAGTATTTGCTGCTCCCCCATGGTTCCCAACACACACTGGTGGCTCTAAACACCACTGTGTATGTGTAGACATAAGAACTGCTGTGGGCGGGCGCTTCTCCAAGCTGCTGCTCCAAACAGGCACACAGTGAGCCTCTAAGACAATGCCATGGAAGGAAGCCAGGCATAAGAGGATTTTCTGCTCGACTGTATTCTGGTGCTCCATTAGTGTCCTTCCAGCAACTACACTTGGAAGTCTGGATAGTGTGGGGCCAGGTTCCTGGACCCCAAAAGAAGGGAGATTCAAGTAGGCAAGGAGGGGCCTAGGGCTCTTTTAGGAGCTTGAAGAGATAGATTCCCAGGGAAGACCAGTTCTAGGCAATTTTCCTATGCAAGTCTGGTCTTTGACCTCTGCGATCCCAGAGGATACGGCAAAGCTTTCCCAAGACGATTGCGCCCCCTGGTGGCCATAACCAATCTGTACATGAGGCAGATGCAGCAGCCAACCTCTCAACCTCCATTGCCTCATGCTAAATTGGGAACGTGAGGACACAGCTCCTTTGACTGCATGAGGCTTCAGTTTCACTCGACATACATTAGATAAATGTCACATCTGACACCTCCATTCTGGTCACAAACCCTCTGAAATGTATCCCCTCAACCCCATCTCTGACAGGATTCTCCAGCTACACTAGCCTTTTCTGTGTCCAGCATACATCAGGTGTCTGTCTGTCTATTCCAGGACTGCTGCTGAGCAACCCTATCGTCTCAAGAATGACTTCATCTAGCCCCTTTAGGTCTCACTTTAAACAGCATCTTGAAGGCAGTGGAGCAGAGATGTTGAGACAGAGTCTCACCCTATCTAAATTGGCCTTGAACTTGACAGGCAATCCTCCTATCTCAGTCTCCCAAATGCTGGGATTACAGGTGTGACCTGACACACCCGGCTTGGATGTCATCTTATGGAGACCCTCCCCAGCCTATCACCCCACCTCCTTCATGCTGTTTTTCTCCCTCCCACTTTTCCTGAGACAGGGTTTCTCTGTGTAGCTGTGGCTGTCTTGGAACTTGTTCTGTAGACCAGGCTGGCCTTGAACTCAGAGATCCGCCTGCCTCCATCTCTCGGGTGCTGGGGGATTAAAGGTGTGCGCCCCCACCACCAGGCTCTTTGGGTTATTCTGATGCCTTCTCTACACATAGACCTTACCTGCTAGGCTACCATCATCTCCCTGCCTGCCCTGGTACTCAGAACCATGGCAGTGAAGGGATTCCACCCTAACCTGTGTCCTGGGTTGGAACTCCCCAGTGTGCAGCTGCCACCAGCAGGGGCTTCCCCCCCCACACACACAGCCTCCAGCCTTACTTGCTTGAGCACCTCCTGCTTGGTCTTGCTCAGCTCCTCATACTTGATCTTCCACTGGCTAAGCTCTCCCTCCAGCTTCTCGATGCTCCTGCTCAGAGCCAGTTTATCCCTGGGGAGGGGACAGGCAAGCACGGGGACTTTATTAGACTCCTTTTGTTTTGACTCCATAATTCAGGGGGTGCAATAGCTTGATTTTGTTGTCGTAACAACAGTAGACTGCATTCTCCCACATTCTGTAACTAGAAGTCCAAGATGAGGTGTGGGCAGGGGAGGTGGTCAGAAGGAACCCATTTCATCCTCTCCCCAGCTTCTGTCAGCTACTGACCATTTTGGCTTTCCTTAGCCAAAGGTGCACCCATAGAAGCATCTCTCCAACTCATCACAGGGCATGCCTTCTTCCTCCCTTCCTCCTGCTCTACCCCC